GAGTCGGTGATGCCATTCAACCATCTCATCCTCTGTCGTCCCCTTCTCTTCCTGCCATCAATCTTTCCCAGCATCAGGGTCTTTCCAAATAAGTCAGTTCTTTGCATCAAGTGGCCAAAGTATTGGAGTTTCAGCTTCAGCATCAGTCCTTCCAATGAACATCCAGGACTGATCTCCTTTAAGATGGATTGGCTGGATCTCCTTGCAGTCCAAGGGACTCTCAAGAGTCTTCTCCAACACCACAGTTCAAAAGCATCAATTCTTCGGCCCTCAGCTTTCTTTATAGTCCAACTCTCACATCCATACATGACCACTGGAAAAACCATAGCCTTGACTAGATGGACCTCTCTTGGCAAAGTAATGTCTCTGCTTTTTAATATGCTGTCTAGGTTGGTCATAACTTTCCTTCCAAGGAGTAAGCGTCTTTTAATTTCATGCCTGCAGTCACCATCTGCAGTGATTTTGGAGCCCAGAAAACTAAAGTCAACCACTGTTCCCACTGTTCCCCGTCTATTTTCCATGAAGTGATGAGACCAGATGCCATGATCTTAGTTTTCTGAATGTTGAGGTTTAAGCCAACTTTTTCACTCTCCTCTTTCACTTTCATCAAGAGGCTCTTTAGTTCTTCTTCACTGTCTGCCATAAGGGTGGTGTCATCTGCATATCTGAGGTTATTGATATTTCTCCCAGCAATCTTGATTCCAGCTTATTCTTCCTCCAGCCCACACAAAATGAAATAGAAAATCTGAGTAGACCTATGACTGTGATGGAAGTAAAGTCCAAAGCTGTAAAGAGCAATATTGCATAGGAACCTGGAATGTTAGGTCCATGAATCAAGGTAAATTGGAAGTGGTCAAACAGGAGATGGCAAGAGTGAACATCAACATTTTAGGAATCAGTGAACTAAAAGGGATGGCAAAGAGTGAATTTAATTCAGATAACCATTATATCTACTACTGTGGGCAAGAATCCCTTAGAAGAAATGGAGTACACCTCATAATCAACAAAACAGCCTGAAATGCAGTACGTGGGTGCAATCTCAAAAACGACAGGATGAACTCAGTTCCTTTCCAAGGCAAACCTTTCAACAACACAGTAATCCAAGTCAATGACCCAACCAGTAATCCTGAAGAAGCTGAATGGTTCTATGAAGACCTACAAGACCTTCTAGAACTAACACCCAAAAGAGATGTCCTTTTCATCATAGGAAATTGGAATGCAAAGTAGGAAGTGAAGGGATACTTGGAGTAACAGGCAAATTTGGCCTTGGAATACAGAATGAAGCAGTGCAAAGGCTAACAGAGTTTTGCCAAGAGAATGCGCTGGTCATAGCTAACACCCTCTTTCAACAACACAAGAGAAGACTCTACACATGGACATCACCAGATGGTCAACACCAAAATCAGATTGATTATATTCTTTGCAACCAAAAATGGAGAAGCTCTATACAGTCAGCAAAAACAAGACCGGGAGCTGACTGTGGCTCAGATCATGAATGCTTTATTGCCAAATTCAGACTTAAATTGAAGAAAGTGGGGAAAACTACTGGACCATTCAGGTATGACCTAAATCAAATCCCTTATGATTATGCAATGGAAGTGAGAAACAGATTTAAGGAACTAGATTTGATAGACAGAGTGCCTGTTGAACTATGGATGGAGGTTCGTGACATTGTACAGGAGACAGGAATCAAGACCATCCCCAAGAATAAGATATGCAAAAAAGCAAAATGGCTATCTGAGGAGGACTTACAAATAGCTGTGAAAAGAAGAGAAGCGAAAAGCAAAGGAGAAAAGGAAAGATATACCCATTTGAATGCAGAGTTCCAAAGAATAGCAAGGAGAGATAAGAAAGCCTTCCTCAGCGATCAATGTAAAGAATAGAGGAAAACAATAAAATGGGAAAGTCTAGAGACCTCTTCAAGAAAATTAGAGCTACTAAGAGAACATTTCATGCAAAGATGGGCACAATAAAGGACAGAAACAGTATGGACCTAACAAGCAGAGGTTATTAAAGAGAGGTGGTAAGACTACACAGAAGAACTATACAAAAAAGATTTTTATGACCCAGATAACCATGATAGTGTGATCACTCACCTAGAGCCAGACATCCTGGAATGTGAAGTCAAGTGGGCCTTACGAAGCATCACTACAAACAAAGCTAGTGGAGGTGATGGAATTCCAGTTGAGCTATTTCAAATCCTAAAAGATGATGCTGTGAAAGTGCTGCACTCAACATGCCAGCAAATTTGGAAAACTCAGCAGTGGCCATAGGACTGGAAAAGGTCAATTTTCATTTCAATCCCAAAGAAAGGCAATGCCAAAGAATGATCAAACTACCACACAATTGGACTCATCTCACATGCTAGCAATGTAGTACTCAGAATTCTCCAAGCCAGGTTTCAACAGTACATGAACCATGAACTTTGAGATGTTCAAGCTGGATTTGGAAAAGGCAGAGGAACCAGAGATCAAATTGCCAACATCTGTTGAATCATTGAGAAAGTAAGAGTTCCAGAAAAGCATCCAGTTCTGCTTTATTGACTATGCCAAAGCCTTTGACTGTGGATCATAACAAACTGTGGAAAATTCTTAGAGATGGAAATACCAGACCACCTGACCTGCCTCCTGAGAAATCTGTATGCAGGTTTCTGGAAATCTGGACATGGAACAACAGACTGGTTTCAAATCAGGAAAAGGAGTACATCAAGGCTGTATATTGTTACCCTGCTTATTTAACTTATATTCAGAGTACATCATGCAAAATGTTGGGCTGGATGAAGCACAAGCTGGAATCAAGTTTGTTGGTAGAAATATCAATAACCTCAGATATGCAGATGACACCACCCTTATGGCAGAAAGGGAAGAACTAAAGAGCCTCTTGATGAAAGTGAAAGAGGAGAGTGAAAAAGTTGGCTTAAACCTCAACATTCAGAAAACTAAGATCATGGCATCTGGTCACATCACTTCATGGCAAATAGATGGGGAAACAATGAAAACAGTGAGAGACTTTATTTTGGGCAGCTCCAAAATCACTGCAGATGGTGACAGCAGCCAAGAAATTAAAAGATGTTTGCTCCTTGGAAGGAAAGCTATGACCAACCTAGATAGCATATTGAAAAGCAGAGACTTTGCTTTGCCAACAAAGGTCCATCTAGTCCAAGCTATGGTTTTTCCAGTGGTCATGTATAGATATGTGAGTTGGACTATAAAGAAAGCTGAGTGCCGAAGAATTGATGCTTTTGAACAGTGGTGTTGGAGAAGACTCTTGAGAGTCCCTTGGACTGCAAGGAGATCCAGCCAGTCCATCCTAACGGAAATCAGTCCTGAATATTCACTGGAAGGACTGATGCTGAAGTTGAAACTCCAATACTTTGGCTACATGATGAGAAGAATGGACACATTGGAAAAGACCCTGATACTAGGAAAGATTGAAGGTGGGAGAAGGGGACGACTGGATGTGATAGTTGTATGTCATTACTGACTCGATGGGCATGAGTTTTAGCAACCTCCAGGAGTTGGTGATGGACAGGAAGGCCTGGCGTGCTGCAGTCCATGGGGTTACAAATAGTTGGACATGACTGAGTGACTGAATTGAACCGAACTGAACTATCTTTAAAAGTTGAATTCAACATCAAAACTGTTTCTACAAAGAAACCTGTGAGTTTGATCAAAGATTAGGAAGGAAATATTATCAATCTCACACAGAATCATTCAGAAAATCAAAGAGGGAACCATTTCCAACTAATTTCATGAGGTTGTCATAACTCCGATCCCACACCTGTCAAAAGACATTATAAGAAAAGAACTGTAGAGATTTATAATATTCATAAACACAGATACAAAATACCTAGCAAAATATTAGCAAATTAAATTCAGCGATACATGTAAAATAGTGTGCTCAAGCATAGTTTAGCTCAAGGACGCAAGATTTAATATTTGAAAATCAATGTAATTCACCGTATTAGTAGAATAAAGCATGATCACCTCAATAAATGCAGAAAAATCAATTAACGAAGATTTAACAGCCATTTTCTATGAAAGCTCTATACAGACTAAGTGGAGCCTTCTCATCTGACATTGTCCATCCAAGAAATACCTATAGCTAGTGGTGAAGTACCAAATGCTGGGCCCCAAAGTCTGGGACCAGGCCAGGCTGAGTGCTCTGACCACACTGTACAATGTCGTACTGGAAATTACAGCCAATGCAAGAAGAGAGGCTGAGAAATCAGAGGCAAGTGGTTTGCAAAATGTGTCTGTTACTCAGGGCTCCGGGGTTACTAGGCTGAGGCTCTGCAACATCAATCCTCCTTTGCCCACTGCCTCATCACACATCTGGCCAAGAGCAGGTGCCAGAGAGAGGCTGGAAGAGCCTGCGCCTGAGGGGAGGTGATGTCCAAGTTTAGTGTGAGGTCCTGGACAGCACCCCTGATGGGAAGGAGCTCTGTGGGGCCCTTGACAGAAGGTGAGCGGAGACCGTGGGTAACAGTCATGTTGCATCACCCAACAATTGCACTGAGGATTTGCGGGGAGAGTCCAAGCTCCCAGGAGACCCACACTGAGGTACTCAGGGCCAGTGGATGTAGGGTCCCCCACTTACTTTCTGCTGATTCTAACAGCACTTCAGACAGAGGGTGAGCATTGGAGGAAACGGGATAAAATGCAGGAAATCAGCAAGTCAGCATTAAGGCCCTCTCTCTTCTGGCAACTTTCTGTGAATTTTCTTTAAGTTTGAAATGATTTCAAAATAAATACTAAAAAAAAAAAAAGAAGGGCAGTTAGGTCAGAGATGAAATCTGTTTCTTCCAAGGAGGCGGCCACACGCTCACACGCCCAGCGAGCAAGGCCTGGCTCCGTGTTTATGAGGCTGTTTTGCTGCCGAATGCGCTGAAGCTGCACATTTCAAAGCTGACCTTAGCTCCCTGGAGCTGCGTGTTTTCCAATCAGATGTTATTCTGCAGGGAATGAACATTCAGCTTCCGGCATTTGGTCTCCCAGCTAATGATGCTTTCCGGGTGCACGCACTCTTCTCTCCCAAGAGTTCAGATCGCCGGACCTCTGGACGCAGGCGCCAGTCCCTTGCTGGGCACAGAAGATGTCGTGTGCGACATGGGTGAGCTCGCCAGGGCATTTACGGGCAGGGGGTTGAGAGTCCCAGCTCATCTCCTGTCAAATATGGAAACAATAGTCAAGTCGCCTGGTATCTTGCAGTTTTCAAATGTTTCAATCAGTCATGTAAACAACAGCATGGGTGTAAATGAAGCCCATATGTAATGGTCACAAACATGGACCATCCGGGGGAAGGGGATGCTGGCCTGAGCTCCCGTGGTTCCTAAGCCCTGTCCCTGGGGAAAGCCACACATGACACCTGAGGACCCACCCAGGACTCCAGGAGGGGTTCAGCTGACAAATGTCACCTGACAGCTGGGGCTCCAGAGAGGGGGCGGCGAGTTTCCCTGACGATCAGTCTACTCTTCCTCCAGCCACCTCCTTGCCGTGAGTACCACAGGTCCCTCCCGCCCGCAGATCTGACCAGTGGTGACTAACACTGCCTTGGGGCCACTTCCACATCACTCCTGAGCAAGGCAAGACCCGATTCACAATCAGTTCCAGGACCCAGATGGTTGCTCAGATCAGAGTCAGAATCCATGGGTCCTGCCATTCTTCCATTCCCCAGGCTCCTCAGCTCAGGGCAGGGCTGGGCTGGACAGGTCTGTACTGGCTACGGGCACAGAACTGGACAAGAGCTTTCTGGGCGGGAGAGGGGCTGGGTCAGTACATCGCTGATCTGTATTTAATTCTGGTAGGTGCAGGTTTTAGTTCTAACGCAGTGCTCACAGTGACCTTGGCATGGGTTCTAACATCATCCCCACCAGAAGAGGGTAAGAAACTGAGGTGCCAGGAGACCATATGGTTGGAAATTCAAGGCCTGGACTTAAGCTCTAATTCACCAGGCATCCAGCTGCCCAAAGGAACATCAATAAGGACGTGTGGGAGTCCTGGCTCTCAGGGACCTGGGGCAGCACAGGAATGAAGAGCTAGAGGGTTCACAGCAGGGCTTGTGCAAAGGCCCTGAGGTGACGGGTCAGCTCTGCAGACCCAGGGAAGGTGAACCAGGCTGGGAGCAGAGGGCAGACAGCCACACGGAAGGGCCCTGAGTTGTGGCTGTGCTCAGAGGTGGCCTGGCAGCCCCAGGGGAGTACCCTCCTCAGCTGTGGTCAAACCTTGTCTGGCTCCCCCCACCCCACCTCTGCTCTGACTTCTGCACCCCCAACCTCCCTCACACTAGCCAGAAAACGTAAGGGAACGAACAGGCCCTCCTCACAGTCGTCATCACCATCAGGTGATCATTGTTGTTCAGTTGCTAAGTTGTGCCCAACTCCTTGCGACCCCATGGACTACAGCACGCCAGGCTTCCCTGTCCTTCACCATCTCCTGGAATTTGCTCAAACTCATGTCTATTGAGTCGATGATGCCATCCAACCATCTCATCCTCTGTCACCCCTTCTCCTCCTGCCTTCAATCTTTCCCAGCATCAGGGTCTTTTCCAGTGAGTCAGTTCTTAGCATCAAGTGGCTGAAGTGTTGGAGCTTCAGCTTCGGGGGATTAGGAAGAGGCAGTTGATGGGGCGTGGGGCCCAGTGAGAGGAGACTATTAAACTGTACTAAGAACTTCACAAGGTTCCAATCATGGAGCCTTTGTTCCCTTGGTGGCGGGGGGTGGAGGGATGATGCTGGAAAGTTCATTGGGTTCAGCTGCATTTATGGAGCACCCGTGGGGGGTGGAGCAGGGGTGACCACATGAGGCCCAGGGAGACTCTAGACACAGGTCAGCCCTCCCTGGCCTCCTGGGGCTCCATGCCCACATCCTTGTGAGTGATGGGGAACATGGGAGACTCTGCTTAGGACAGACAGGAAAATGGGGGCCACTTTGGATGGGGTCAGAGGCCCCTCTGGGGAGGTGATGTTCCCAGGAGACCCAGAGATGTCTCCTGCCGTGCCTGCCGCCCAAGGATCTCGGCTGGAGCACAAGGCCGCGTGTGCTGAGGACCTGGTGGTCCCCGCTTGGCCTGGCCTCTCTGCTGTCCCATCAGCCCCTCGGCAGCCTGCATGCCCCGTGACACCCACAGCGCATCTGGTCACACTGGAGGGGACACAGTGAGGTTCAGGGTCATGGTGGTGGGGGACATAGGTCTGCGTCTGTCCCACCCTCCCAGCCTTGACCTTGCTAACTCCCAGCCCAGCAAGATGGGTCAGAGGTCCTGGGCCACCTCCTCCCTGAAGCCACCCTGCCTGCTCTCCCTCTGCCCCTGGCGCTGGCATTTACCCCATTGTCGCTATTCTGTGCTGTGCCCCCCACACCCACACCCACGGGGTCCTGAGGGCAGGACAGGCCTGCTGCCCCTTGGGAGTGGGATGAGGAGGCTGAGCAGCACCAGAACCCCTTTGGGGGAAGCCCCTTGCCCACCTCCCTCAAGTGAGGGCCCCACACACTGCTCCTGGAGCAGGGTGGCCTCCCACCTTGCAGGACTCAGCATGGGTAGTCTAGTTCTTGGGCATTTGAACTGAGAGGCAGGTGGGGGCAGCAAGAAGGGGGAAGCTGTGTGGGGGGGAGCCGGGGGAGGTCTTGGTTTCTGCAGAACAGCTCAGAGCTGGGGTCAGATTCATGCGCGCACCCCTGGAGGAGGAGCTGGGATCCGCTCTCTCATTTTTGGAGCCATCACCACTGCTCTGGACTGACTGCTTCTCTGTCCCTGCTTCCCTCACATCTCTAATTAATAAGTGCTGAATCTGCTCTTTGGGACTCAGGGATGGCTAGGAGACTAAAGGCTTTTTCTACGAACAAGAAATGAGGACTCTGAGGGGCTTTAGAAACTGGGAGCCCCATAGAGTCCTGCTGGGTTTCAGTAGCCGCCCCAGGACACCATGTCCTGTGCCACTGACAGACCACCCCCCAGGCAGCCCAGAAGTTTGAGGTAACTGCCAGACAACCTTACCTGCCCAGCACAGGTGCAGCCCAGTGGATGCGAGGGTGGTGGGGCAAGGGCGGTGGACTGGGTCACAGGACCCTCAGGATCGTCATGCAGTTCAAGGGGAGGCGGCTGCAGAAACACCTGGGCTGTGTTCTCTGAACCAAGGGTCGGGGGAGGGAGAGTCAGGTGACTGCACCTGGGGCCAGAGGTCACAGGAATAGCCGCCTGGACTACCGGGCTAGAGCATAAGGTCCTGGGTGAGCTGGGGGGCAATGGCTGCTGAGAGAAGGTCCTGCTAAATCATGCAGCTGCCTGTGAGCGAAGCTGCAGAGAAAGAAGGTCCTGCTAAATCATGCAGGTGCCTGTGGGCGAAGCTGCAGGTGTTTCTTCTGCAAAGCTTCTTTGAACTTATTTTTCCTTGAAAACTCTGATCTAATTTTGGATTGAAGGAAATCCGAACATGCCACCCCGAAACGTGCCCCTTCGCCGTGAGGATTATTTTGAGCTGAAGGCAGCTAAGAAACAACAAACACAGGAGGAATCGCTGCCTCCTCCTTTCTTTCCTTTTATGAAGATCGTTTCCATGTGTAAACATGTCCTCAGGAGGTCAATCTTGGGCTGGAGTGTGTATAACAAACCTCACTAAACAAACCCCCGTTTCCTTCCCACAACTCACCCCCTCAGCCAACACCCCCCGCCTCTCCTAGTCTCATCTCCACAAGTGTCTCTCTTTGTTAAAATGATGTATAACCACCCCACCATCCCTCATCCTGCTCCTTTGGAGTTTTCTTTCCTGTAATGCCCCTGCCATGTGTAAAAACATTTTCCCTCTGTTAATCTGGCTTTTCTCAGTTTAATTCACAGGTCTTGGGAATGAACTTAAGAGTGTAGGAGAAAGAGTTCTGTTCCTCTCCTGTAGAATGTTTAGGTACCCACACAGAGTTCACATTGCTTTTAAACTCAGAAACCCTCAAAAATCTTTTCTTCTTAAAATTATACAGACCCCCCAGGCCAGACATGCAGGGCGGCCCACCAGCTGATGGGGTAACAAGAAAGTCTGATGTCAGCCCATTGTCCCTACTGTAGATGTTCTGCAAATTTGTCTTGACAGAGCCCGTTTCTTGAGTACTACAGGTGGCTTCATTATCCCAGAAGTTTGCAGGAAAAGGGACCCTTCCAGGGCCTGAGAATGGGCTCTTGTCTAACCCTCAGAAATGAATTGTCTGAGGAGACACGTGTGCTGACAGAGCAAGAGAATTTATCAGGAAGGGGCATCCAGGCAGAGAGCAGGAGGGTAAGAAAACCCAGGAGGACTGCTCTGCCACATGGATTCGTCTCAGGTTTTATGGTGATGGGATCAGTTTCTTGTTGTCTCTAACCAATCATTCTGGCTCAGAGTCCTTCCTGGTGGTGCCCACATCTCTCAGCCAAGGTGATGCCAGCAAGGAGGATTCCAGGAGGTTGGTAGGACACTTGGACTGGAGTCCCCTTTCTCCTTTTCCCTAATCCTTCCAGTTGGTGCTAGCTTGCTAGTTCCACGTTCCTTCCCAGGACATCTTGTTGTAAGTGGTTACTATCTTGCCCGGCGAGGATGGGCGGTTTCAGTCAGTGTTTTCCCTAACAAGAGTGCATCATGTCCCGTGTCTAGAAGTTCATGTCCAGCTTTTACAGGAAAAGATACAACCCAGCTGACCGTGCAGCGTGTGGGCGGACGCTTCTGCCCCACGTCCTGAGCCGACTGTGCAGGTCTCATCCCAGCTCTGGGCCTGAGTCATGGCCCGTTGGGCCCCCTACTTCCCTCCCACATCCAGGCCTGGGGTTTGGGGAATCGGGCTTTGATGGATGTTGGTCTATTACCAGGAACGCGCCTTAGTCCTCTTCCTGCAAGAGAATGTGGGCTGGCGAGAGCAGCTGGACGGCTGCCATGGACGAGTCCCTGCCGACCTCTCCCAAAGACGGGGCTGGGAGCCACGCGGCTCTGTGCTCTCAGGGCCGGGGTCCCCACTGTGGCTGGCTGCACCCCTCATTCCGAGCCGACTCTGGGCCTTGCCTCTGCTGCTCCTGCAGACCTTCCTGTGTGCCCAGGGCCCAGGCTGCCCAGGGGCCACCGGAGGGTCTGCCATGTGGGAGTCAGTAGGGCAGACATGAATTCCTCTCTTTGAAAATAAGAGACTCCCCCTCCCCTCCCTTTCCAGAACGTCTTTCTGCATCATTTCCAAATGTTTGTAAATCATGTTAATGGCTACATAAGCCTCTGGCCTGTCTCACCACTCAGGAATGTCTCCTCAAGGCCTGGGAACCAGGGCTTTGAACAGTGATCTTTAAGGAAGGTGACCCCCCGACTCCTGTTTCCTGGGGGGTGGGGTGGGGGTGGGCCTAACGAGCCATGGACTTACACTGCAAAGGTTCCTTATTGAGAAGAGCCTGGTCTCTGTCTATCTCTGCAGGGGCTTCAACAGTGGCTGTGATATGCCTCACACTCTGGTTAAATGCCGACTCATCATAGAATTATGTCCTCTTCTGCCCTTACGGAGAGGTTTCCTGGGTGGGAAAGAGATTGGGTTTCACTTCTGTCCCCCCTAAAGCCCTGGCAGTGGGAGGAAAGAGGGCTCAAAGAGTCCCCCTCCCTGGCCACCCCTTGCCCTGCAGGCCCAAGCACAGCCACTCCCGTTGCAGATCTTGGCTACTGTGCCAGTCCTTGTAAACAGCCTTTGCCAAACTCTCCTCCCCGCCTGGGTGTGCCTCCTAGGTGTGTCTGCCGGGCACCCGTCCCCCACAACCTAGGGCTGGCCTTTGCAGAAGAGGCCGCTGTGTTCGCTGCATTTGGTCCTGGGGTTCAGGAAAGTCCTGGCAGGCCGGAGGCTACATGGAGTGTCATGGGTTCCAAGGCTCGGAGAGCAGCCACTCATCTTTCCCCTCCTGCACCCCTCTACACACACGTGCCCTGGAGAGGCTGGACCTCACCAGAGCCCCACCCCGGCCTGCTCAGCTCCCATACCCAGACCCCCGGGGCCCAGAATCTGCCCCTGCCTTTCCATCGTTTAGGGCATGAAGCTCTCCTCTTCCATCTTCCACAGCCCTGGTGGGTCAGCAATTTAGACCAGCTGTCCCCATCGTGGGAGGGGCAGTCCCAGGATTCCTTGGCATCCCATAACCCAGCAGGGCTCCTCATGCAGCTGGCCAGCTGCCTCTCCGCTCCCTCAACCCCTTCAGACAGCCTGGCCACCCTCCCACCTCAGGGATCCTTAGGAATGCTCTCCTGAGCCCTCTCACTTCCTTGAGCCTCTCGTTGTGGATGGTGTTACAGAGCAAAAGGTAGAAATGAGGACTTTCAGCAGAAGAGCCCCCCACAGACCCCCTTGGGAGGTGTAGCACATGCACACGCATGCATACCTACAGACATGTACACACACTGACATGCACACACGTGGACACACATGCACACATGGGCATGTATGTAAACATGGATACGTATGCATACACACATGGACACACATGCACACGCACAGATACATGTGCACACACACAGACACACATGCATGGCCATGCACATGGATCTGGAGTGAGTGTCGGGAAGCATGCCTGCCTGGGAGCTGGCACAGAAGCCGGGAGAAGCTGGCCATGGGAGGCGGACAGGATGCTGCCCTCTGCAGAAGTGCTAGTGAGGACAGAAACCACAAAGATTCTGCAGAGACTCGGATGGGCCCAGGGTTCCCACTGACCTAGGCTGTGGGCAGGGAGCCAGGCTGGTTCTCTGTCTCCAAGGCTGGGATGGAACAACCCTCTGAGCCACAGCTGCACCATCCAGGGCAGGAAAGGCTGGAGCTCACCCTCCCCCGCCAGGCCATGGGCCCCAGGGCTACTCTGGTTCCCAGGCCCCGTGACCCGCCAGCCCAGCTCCTCTGAGTCTAGAGGTCTGCCGGGTGCTCTGACCTTCCATCCCTGACCGCCAGCCCTCTGGCCACACCTTCTCTCTCCCCACCCATTGGGTTCTCCCCGAGCCCAGGGCATGGAGGACCCGAATCCCCAAGGAGGACCGAGGGAGGTGGGGAGAGGCTGACTTTTTCCTCCCTTCCATCTGTGTGCGGCTCACCCACAGGGGCCTGTGGGAGTCTCCTGAATTGGGGTTAAGGAAGCAGTACAACAAGCCAGCACCTCTCGTCCCTGCCTCTCCATCTACCCCAGGGCCAGTGGGAGCCACGGGCTCAAGGCAGCTCGTCTAGCCGTCTAGCCATCCAGCCATGTGCCCCTGCTGCGGGTCTCGAATCCCAGAGGGGACGGACAGGGAACCTGGCCAGCTGGCCTCTCTGCATCACCCAGTCCACGTGGAGTCTGTGGGCAGCAGGAAGGAAGCAGACACAGGACCCAGATCCAAAGGGTGCTTGGCACGCTTGTCCCCAGTAACCGTACCTGGAGCTTTCCTTATTTACTCAGGTCACAGACAAAAGAAAGCTGAGAGGCAAACCCACAGAACTTTCACTTCTCACCTTGAGGATAAAACCTCCAAATGTCAGGAAAGGTACAAGTGAACTGAGCACAGAAGTGGGCTTGACCTGACGGAGAAGGGTCTGCTTCCAGGTCTCTGGGCTCTGAACAATGAGACTCCCAGGAACAAGCCCAGCCACTCAGGATAAAAGGGAAATGACAGCGCCCTCCTGTCCTGAGTCTGTCTGTTGCAGATCCTGAGTCTTGGGCGCAAATGGAGGCGGATTGACTAAATCACGTAGACAGTGGCGACTTTCTCACTTTCCAACAGGCTCAGGTTCATGGGACGGTGGGTGGCTCCCTGGGGTGGCTCTGACAGCCCTGTGCTGGTGTCAGATGTGGTCGCTGGGTCTTTACCTCCTGTTCCAGCCCTTGGCACCCTCCCAGGCCTCTCGGGGCAATGGAGCCTCCTCTGGTCTAATGGCTGGTCTCTCTCGGATTCGTGCACCCCCTCCCCAGTGATTCTCAGGGTCTCCACCCCAGGGTGGGCTCCTCTGTGCAACCAGGGGTTCCCCTGCAGGCGGGATTAAGGGGGGTGTCCTGTGGCCCAGGGAGCCCCTCCCAGGGGTCTGGTGCTGACACTGTGTGCTCCCTGGGACTCAGAACCCAGAGGTCCTTCCTTCTTCCACAGACACCCTGGCCTGGGCTTCAAGGGGACGTGGAGGGTAGGCATCTCCCCTCCTCACATCGGGGCTCAGCTCCACTACAGGACGGGCTGTAGGCAGCGAACAGGCAGGAATGGGAAACAGACACATCATGGGTGCTGCTCTTCTGAACCCAGAGGGTGCAAAGACAGAGTGACTTTTATGATGACTGCATCATCTCTCATCCTCTGTAGGAAGGAACTGGTGGAGGGGCCGCCTGGATCTTCAGGAGGAGGAGCAGGCTGGTTGTCAGCAGACAGCTGTCCGGTGTCCTATCTCTCGTGATGTTGGTGCCCAGCTAACGTGGCTTCAAGCAACCCTAATTATCCCCAGTCTCAGTCTAGCCCCCAGGAGCACAGTTTGGCTGTGGAGTGAATCCCAACTTCATTGTGATCCCCCGTGAATGCTGTTGTTCAGTCGTTCAGTTGTGTCTGACTCTGTTCAGTTGTGTCCAACCCCATGGACTGCAGCACCCCAGGCTTCCCTGTCCTTCACCATCTCCCGGAGCTTGCTCAAACTCATGTCCATTGAGTCGATGATGCCATCCAACCATCTCATTTTCCGATGCCCCTTTCTCCACTTGGCCTCAATCTTTCCTAGCATCAGGGTATTTTCCAAAGTGTCCACTCTTCTCATCAGGTGGTCAAAGTATTGGAGCTTCAGCTTCAGCATCAGTCCTTTCAATGAATATTCGGAATTGATTTCCTTGAGGATTTGTGTGACAAAAGAGCCTGAGATCGTTATGGGGTCAGAATCCTTGCTCTCATCTCAGACACCTTTGTGATCTCCTGGGTAGTCCTGGTGCTAACCCCAAGCTGTCCCAGCCAGGCTTCTGTGCCTCCCTCAGCCCTGACATGCTCAGCAGTGGGGGCTCCCCTACCCCATCCTTCTGCAGAAGGTACAGCCTGGCTCCCCTCCCCTGGGAATGGACTGCCCAGGACAAATCTAACTGATCATCAGTGAAAATGCTGACGGGTGATTTTGTCAGCCATGTCCCTGAGATACTCCAGGGACATGGTCACCAGTCCCTGTGTAATGTGGAAAAAGCTAGAATTAGGCCATCCAGGTTCTGGCCAGTCTCCACCTCGCTATTCACGCTTCAGTTCCAACTTCCTCTGGTTCCAAATGAGCAGAAGTTGTTGGAGCCTGTTTACCCCATCAGTACTCAGATGGCCTGTGTGAGTCACACTTCCTTCTGGACATATCCACCAAACATCCAGTGGTTCAGTCCCAGAGGCCAAGGAGCTTCCATTTGTTCAGAACTTACGATCTAGACTTCAGCCAACCCAAGGAAGCTGTGATTCAGCAGAATCCCCCGGAGTTACTCACCAGCCTTGAGTCAATCTGGCCGTGAGGCTCCTAGCTCAGAACTCCCCTCCTAATTCATTGCGGAATCCTCGCCTGTGACCTGCCAGGCACCCTGTGGTGTGGCTCAGAGAGTCCCCGTTCCCAGGAGCCGGCAGTCTAGCGAGGGGAGAAGCTGGGTGGTAACCACCCAGGTACAACTGTGATCAGAGCGGGGTCAGATGCCCTGCAAGATGGAAGGGGGTGCCCTGAGGCTCCAGCCCCCACCTGCACCACTGGAGGGGGCACTTCCATCCTGCTAATTTTGAACGGCTGCTGTTGCCCAGTTGTATGCCTGCAGTAAGCACAGGTTGGTGCACTTATTGTAAAGTGGTTCATTTGTACTTAATTGAATTCTACCTATAAGTGGGATTATATGTAACTAGTCTTGCCCATGTGACATCTGGGGACACTGTGATCATCATATTGGTGCAGCTCACCTGATGGCATTCCTCTCTATTTGCTGAGTAATAGTATGTTGCATATTTTACCTGTGAGGTGCACACATTGGTGCCCCACTGTATGCCTGCCATGTGCACACATTGGTGCCCACCTGTTTACAGTGGTCAGTTTCAATCCTGCACAGAATTCCATCAGATAGACATTTTGCCACAACCAAATGTCCACCATGGCCATTTCAGTTGTCTCCAACATAGGGGATTATGGATCACGCTGCTAGGAATACCCCTTGGTGAACTTGAGTTGGTGCTTCAGTAGGGTGCATACCGGGGAAGGAATCGCTGATCACAACTTAGAGAAGGGTAACCACCAGTTTCCTAAAGAAGCTGTAATATCTGCCCATCCACCAGAGCCGTGTGAGGGCTCTGGTTTCACAGGTTCTTGTCAACACTTGGAGTTGTCCATCTTTCCATCTGAGCCTTCCTGACCATGTTTCCCTGATGCATCATTCCACATGCTCACGGGTCCCCACCGTGAAGGGACCAAGTCCAGCCTGTGTGTCTCCTGGGCTGTGCACATCACTCCTCTTGAATGGCAAGAGCTCTTCATGGGCTCCCCACACAAATCCTCATTAGTTCAACTACAGGACACGTACTGTAACCAGAAGGTCACATTTTTCATGCATCTTTATGATGCATGCTTTTTCTGTTCTATTTAGGATACCATGATTATACATTTCCCTATACCATATCCCCCAATTGTTTGTTGTTAACCTTTAACCTTTGGAGCAGCAATCCACCTGTAACTGACATGGCAGTGTGACGTAAGGAAAAGTCTCAGATACGCATTCAGTGAGCTCAGCACTGTGCATTGATGGGACCTCCCTCCTTACTGCATTGCAGGGTCACTTTGGTGACACAGTCTTGTCATTTGTGTGGCTGCATCAGCTTTTTTTCCATTAGTGACTGAATGGCATATTTTTGCATCTCTTTACTTTCATCTTTTCTGTGTTTTTTTATATTTATCCCCATATAAGCAGGATATTGTTAGATTTTTTCCTTTTAAATCTAGTCTATCTTTGACAGCATTTTGTTCAGTTGTTGTTAATGTAATTTCTAAGATATTTGGGGTCACAACCATTGTCTTACAATTCATTTCCTCTTATTCCCATGTGTTCTGTGTCCCATCTCCTCTCCTTAAATTCCTTAAATATTCTCTCTTTTATTTTATCAACTATCTTTTATGTGTGTGGAAGAAATAAGGGAAATAGAAAGCCATCATTATGATACTGCAATAACAATATCTATAGCCAAGATGCACTCATAAAGGCTAAAATCAAGGGGCAAAACTTAAAAGGAAAGCAAGACACATGCATAGCTCAGAATATTAAGCTCTGTGGTGGTTTAGTATGAATCACAAACTCATTTATCTGCTCTCTGAGAGACAGAGCTGACCTGCCCTCTCCTGGAGCATGATGTGGTCTCCATGATTGGCTTCCAATGGACACAGAATGAAAGGAGGAATAAGTGACTTTGTGTTGGAGACTCTGGGCAGGTGCCCTTGACTCAAGTGAACAAGCTTAATTCCAGTAACAAGGCACCCTTGTTACCTGGTCCCCTCATACGATGTTCTGTGTGGTGGTCTTTTTTTTTTTTGTGGTGGTCTTTCTAAAACCCATGAGAAAACATCAGACAAACACCAATTAAGGGTCATTCAATGAAATACCTAACCAGTACTTTTCAAGAGGGTCAAGGATGTGGAAGGGGTGGAAGGCAAGAAAGCCTGAAAGGCTGTCCAATTTGGAGGAGACTGAGCTGGGATGGGATTCCAGAACAAAAATAGGTCATTAGTGAAAAACTGGTGAAATTCTCTGAGAGTCAGTTGTTTAGTTCACTGTATTGTACCAATGATTGTCTTAGTTTTGACCATTGAGCTATGGTCATGTAACATGTTGACATTAGGGGGTTCTCAGTGAAGGATCCATGAGGACCCTTGGTATTATTTTTTTAACTCTTCTAAAGACTAGAATCTAAACTTATCTCAAAGTAAAAAGTTAAATAAATTAATTAAAACTCCTCAAAACCTCTTAGGAAGAACTGATCTTCTTTGAATATCTCTCCCATTGTCTTCTGATTTCCATTATTCCCTTAGGAAAGTTAGCTGTGATCCTTTGAGAGAAGTTGCCTTTTCTTCCTACTTTTAAGATTTTCTCTTTGTCTTAGCTTTCTGTAGTCTGCTTATGATGAGTGTGGTTGTGTTTTTCCTCATATTTACCTTGCTGTTGCCTGGGCTTGCTCACATGCAGGGGTTGGCTGGCTGAGGACTCAGTGCTGATACAAGCCTCCACCTCCTCCATCAGACCAGCCCAGGCATGGTTTAGCAGTAGTGACAAAGACACCAGTGAACACGCCCACTTGTACACGTGCCCTTCAAGCCTCTGCTTGTGTCACATTTGCTGACACCTCATTGGCCAGAGAGTCCCGTGGCTGGGCCGGTGTTGAAGCAGGAGGGACTCCAATCATGCAGCAAAGGTGGGGACCCAGAGCGGGAAGGGTGATCCATCACTTCAATCTGCCCTCTTATTCCTCAAGCAGCCTGTGGGGCAGGTGTTATCTAGCTGGTCACCCCATGAACTTAACATCACATCATAGCTACTATTCCCTCACATTACAGAATATGGCAGGGAGTAAGCCACTCCCAAATGCCCAACACCCAACCCTGGAGGAGGATGAGGGCTTCCCGTGGGGTCTCAGCCTCCAATAGTGGTGGGATGACCCCATGGGGCCTGCCAGTCATGGTCTCTGTCCATCCCATGTATGAGTTTCAGCTCCTAAGAATGGAACTGAAGGGGAGGCGAGGGGTCACCTCCCGGAATTGTTTGCTGCTCCACTGTAGAGGCCACCTTAAAGGAGGGCTGTGCCCAGGGGCCTGCGGTGTCCTCACCTGACCTTCCACAGTGACCACAGATTCTGGTGATAGCAGTGAGGAGCTGAGAATGCTGGGGACGCCAGTCAAGACCAGTGGCCAGGCCCTGGACTGTGTGTGTGTATGCGTAGGTGGGTGTGAGGGGGTGTATGTGTGCACAAGTGTGTTGCACATGTGTGAGCCTGTGCACATGTGGGTAGGTGTGAAGATATATGTGTGTGTGCATGTGCATGAGCATGTGTGGATTGCACACACGTGTGTGTGTGAGCCTGCGCATGTGTGAATGGATGTGATCAGACCAGATATCCATGATTCCTTCTACACCAGCCTTCTTTCTCTGTCAGGCCGGGTTTTCCTTGAAGTGACTCAGAGCAGCAGACAGACAGGCTGGTTTGGGGGACCATCTTGGACCATGTTTGGGGCATCCCCAAGAGGCTCTGGGGTCAAGGCCTCCTGACCACCTAGGAGGTCTTCTTTGGGTGCTGTCACTCTGCAGGGGCCCCTCCGGGAGCTGCTCTTGGCAGAAATGACTGGTCAGTTGGGGCATGAGTCTAAAGGCCCAGGCCCCTGCCCTGATGGGAGACTCGGAAAGGCCATCCACTCCCCAGTGTCCAGGGCGCTGGGGATTAATGCACTGTCTTGAGCTTTTTAAGATGTGACATCAGGCACTGGCTGCCTGCAGGGCCCTCCTCAGAGCTTAGGGGACTTCACAACAGGGTCCCCAGGCCAGAGAAATGCTCTCTCTAGAAAGAAGGGAAGCTGGCCTAGGTTCTGAAGGGCTGACTTTCCCTGAAAAGTCCCACCTGGGAGCAGCTTTGGGGGAGGGTGGGGGCGGGGATCATTTTTCTCCCACCATTAATCATGAATATTTGGGTTTATTGCTGCATTTTCTCTGACATTTGCTGGAGCCAAAGTTTACTTGTTAAAGGAAAACAAACATTAAAACATTTGCTTTGTTACAAAATAAAAGCCACATTCCAGGAAGCATAGGAAGGCCTTTACCCATCAAGGGACAGTACAAGGGAGCCTCCCCCACCACCTCTACCACCAGCACAGCCTCCCGGATGGACAAAGAAATGGCTCCAGCCAGCCCCATTCTTTGCTTTTCTCCCTTAA